AATGCATTTAATTTGAGAGGACACCATGGTATTAATGTAATATACCTTTGACATTGAAAAGAATGTTCAGGTACTAAACACCGCACCTTCCTACTCCGCCACCTCCCTTCCTAAATTGTTGATTATTATAGGTACACATTTTCAGTATGCTTCAGGCTCAGAGAGACTGTCTGAACAGACAGACGATGAATGAGCAGGTGATGGACCATATACACAGGCATCATGCCATATGCTTTTTGAGAAGTGGCTCAAAAGTTCTGATCCTAACCATGACGAAATGGTTCAGATGGAATCAATTGATCCCGCTGCATGGAATGCTTGCTCCAGGCTACATAAATAGAGATTACTACCCATGTGTCTCTCAGATACCAGTTATCTTATAAGTTGTAAATCGTATCTGACAGACACAAGAACAGTGATCTGTTTCTTACACTCCATCAAATCACACCACTTTAGGGTCAAATAGATTCAAATATCATATTATCACATCTAGGGCTGTAGCGATGCATCAAACTATCAATGGATTGCAATTGTTGAGTCTTCGATAGCAATTAATTGATGGTAGAAACAAAAAACTATCGATGTGACTATTGATAGTTTAATAATTGACTTCCGTTGATAAATGGAACACAGGAAGTACCAGATTCTTTCACTTTGATTTAGAATTATCCGCCATTACCTCTTAAATAAACTTGACTGTTTACTTGATCTGGGTTTCAAGTTTCTTGCCAGTTATTAAAAGAGAGTGAAACTACTTCAACTTGCTTATGTTTCATATAAACTGTACATTCATTTGGGAAATGACTTCAAATGAGACAATTCAAGGAGACAAAAACAACTATTGCAATATTATTGCAATAGTTGGTCGCAATAGACTATCGCTATCGCAATAGTACAGTGTTCACGAATAGCGTCTGACCCTCTGACAAATCAGGCAGATTTGCCAACGGTCCGACAGAAGTCTGCAACCCGCCGGCCCCAATGTCAGACTGTATATTTCACAATGACTTTGACTGAAGTTGTTATATGTGACATGTGACACTTGTTTGCCCTTTATAAATCTTACGTTTGTTAAAAATTTCAATGCCAATTATAAGAAATGTTGAATATGAAATGTGTGTTTAATTTTATTCTATGGGTCCTGTGAATTTTGAATGGGTCAGACAGACATCTGAAACTTACAGGACCCAATGTCCTGTTACTTTGAAACAGCATTCGTGAACACTGAATAGTATGTTGCAAAAGACTATCGCTATCACAACAGCTGTTTCCCTGTCAATAGATACCCCTAATCTCATCATAGTAGTGCAATAATGCACAACCCAATGTTTATAAATGAGTGATGTCACTCGGCTCCCTGGTTACTACAGATCCCCAAGGTGACCCACCATAAAACGTTTCTGCAGTGTGTGCTTCATCAAGGCCATAACGATGATGCAAACTAGACTAGATCAAAGAAAATTCACTAAACACTCTAAAATGACGATGTTGCAACATAAATTGTGAGTGTGACGTTATTGTATTCATTTTGGACAGTTGCTGGTGTTCTTCATTGAGTTTTGATACTGTTGTCATTATGAGAAGATGGTTTGGATATCTCTGCACATGGGTTTCTGTAGACTAACATCTAGTCTCTGAAATGAACATATCTTAACGAAAAAAGGTTCCTAATTTATAATCATAAAATATAATGAAAAGGAGCCCAGAGTAACCAAATAAATTGTTCTCACTCAAACTCATTTGGGTATGTTGCCATTTTCCATTAATTGTAAAAATATAATAAAGTTTAAATGTTATTACTATTGGATCTGTAATATGAGAAACGATAAGAAAGACTGCAAGTTGCCAAGTTCATGTGTTGAAATAGAACCTATGCATATACCTCAGTTATTTTATCTGTGCACCGGTACGCAAGCTAAGATTCAACATTTTCGTTTGTACACATATAAGATCAAATTTATTGAGCATTTGCAAAGATTCACGCGTACTTGTATGAAATAGATATAATAAGAATTGAGTTTTTACATAAATATTTGTGTAATTTACATAGATACGCAGCTTATCTGTACCTCTGACATATTCTAGACTTGCACGGGCTTTCTTGGATGTATTTGGTTCAGGGTCTGTATGACATACTAGGGTGTCTGCACTTGTGTAAAAGTTTACATTCTATGTTCCACCATGGACCAGAGCCAGAACTATTGAGAGTCTGCAATTAATGAGTGCTTGACATTGTTATGTTCACCATTAAGGGGGACTACCCTTCTTGCCACAGCTGTCTTGTATTGCAATGAGCCTGAAACTGCCACTTGGGACTTGTTGATGTCATGGTGTTGAGAAGATGACATGTTAGTTGATTACACTGTGTATGTGTTGTTATAAATATTCTAAGTGTTTTTATTGCATTAATTCCTGCACACATTATAACTGTGAAAGTTACAGGCAAGTATTAAGGTGTTTGGCACGAGAAACAGGTTTGCACTCAATTGAAGCATGAGTATCGCCTCAATGAATTTTAATCAGCAATGCAGTCTGTCCTAATCTGACCGTGTGTCATCACCATGGAGTAGCCAATCACAGTCTTGGAAATCAATTTCACGCATATGTTTGACACCAGTTTTCTCATAGGGGCTTCTCACCCTCATTTGGGTAAGAAAAGGTCCTTTACAACATATATTATGTCATCTTCATTTGGATAATGCTTGCCTAACTTTTTTTTTCAAATTTGGGAGGAAATATGGATATGGCAGTGTCAAATCTGATTAAAATCGAGGAAGTTAGATGAGTTCAAAGCTACAGTCATGCATGGTGAAATAACAAATAAAACATGAGTTTTGCAAAACATTTAGCTCTGATATTCTTACACAGCTGTCTTAATCAGTAAGAATAGCAGTGGCCAGTAATGGTTTGAATCCTAGAACAGTGAAGCCACCACTTGGCAGCTGGACCAGACTTTGTCTTTGTCTCGGATGGTTGTAAATCTAAGACAAATCCATGCTTACCAAGTGGTCAATAAAATGAGTTGGGTCAGCTTCAAAACAATGAAATTTCTCATGAGAGATGATGACCTGGACTGTTTCTGATCAGGTTTCAGAAGCTTTGGAACCCATCATGCTGAAACCTTTGACATGCACAGGTCATTCCTCTGAATGTTTTTAACTCCTTCATGAGAGATGATGACTCTATCAGTTATGTAATGACAGATGTGTTCCTCAATCCCCCACAATCATATTATGTACTTTATTAACATTTCCCTAAGTGGTGGCTGTTGAAGGTCTTACTGATACTCGACCATCTTTCCCCCTATCAACCTGACAGCCAACCTCTCTAAACTGACTGACTGACTGAGTTTAGTTTTACGCCGCTTTTAGCAATATTCCAGCAATATCACGGCGGGGGACACCAGAAATGGGCTTAACACATTGTGCCCATGTGTGGAATCGAACCCGGGTCTTCGGCGTGACGAGCCAACGCTTTTAACCACTAGGCTACCCCACCGCCCCACCTCTCTGAACAGTGACAAAGGAAGGCGTCTCATCCCCTCAGTTGACAACCCGTCCACATGGATGGCTGGTGGAGTTTCTTTTCAGTTGGAGATACCTGAAGGCCAATTTTGTCCCTTTGCATCTACAGAGAACACCTTGTCACTTTGATACCTGCAGAAACATGTTGCCTGGATGGGCATTACAAGGAGTCAATGCTGCCTGCGAGCATGGAAAGTATCGTACTGGGTCCTGTTGTCTTAAAGAAAACAATATTTTTCAAGAGTTAACATTGCAAATGTGAGAAAAGTCATTGATCAATGAGAACCCCCAAGAGATGTCATGGGTCAAAGATGGCCACAACTGTCATCACACACAAAAACTTGAGAGGTACACTAGATTCAAGCAAATGAAAAGCAGAAGAAATTACCTTCTCAAATGAAGGCGAGAATAATATTGATTAAACCTCCCAGTGTGAGGGCATGGCACTTCACTGGCTGTTGATAGCTGCCATATGGAAAACATCGAAGCATGCCCTTGCCAAGTCCTTTTATCTTATTTGATCTTTCTCAAGTGGAAAACTATTAAGTATCCAAATAAAGAGAGAAGGTCTTCAATGAAGTAATGCAAAATGTCTACAAATATTTTTCATGCAATTGGTGTCTCTCTTCCTTGAAAACAACTCTGTATGTTGTATTAGTCATTTGTGAATATGCTAAAACAAAGAAGTACTCATTAGAAGTACAGTATGAGCAACTATTTAATTATCTGTTCACATGTATGAGCACTGAAAAAATACCTGTATAGGCAAATATGTTTCAGTGCATACATCCATGTAGGCTGGTCCATGAGAAATCACCAAGTGCACATTTACGTTTCTATTTCTAATTTAAAGAATGGGATCAGGTGGAGTGTTTGAGATCAAGCCATAGAAGTAACTAGACGTGCAACGGTACGCCCATGCCGCGGTTCAGTATGTATTGCACTACACAGCTCTCGGTTCGGTACTTTTCAGTTCGGTTCATTAACAATAAAAATTAAAGTTCCAAGAAGAAATCTTCTTCGAACTGGGACCCAAACAAAAGTGCCTTTACATGAACTCGTTCATCCAACTGAATCGGCATGAGTTGTTGGTAATAGCACTTTGGCACAGAAATGTCAAAAACAGTATCTACATGAAGATGTCATCTGGAATTAAATTACATGGAATATTTGTGATGACATTCCAAAAGTAATGTGTACAAGGTGAGCAACATATTTACGGTACGGAAACCGAACGTACTGTAATTTCAAAGTGAAATTTCAGTGTACCGAACTGACAACAAAATTCTGCGGTATGAATACACCGCAGTATACTGTTTCAGCCCTAGAAGTAATTCAGGATAAGGGATCCGTGGGATTATTATTTTTCATGCTAAAGTAGTAATTAAGGAATCCTTAAATCACCAGAGCTTGTAATGCAAAACAACTGGCATGAAGGTATATATTGTCACTGACAGGTCTACATTACAGGTATCCCGACTTTATAGTGTTAAGACACACCTGTGATAATACACACCTTCATGCCAGGTAATACTGATAGCAATCAAGTCAGTCTTCAAACTGTGAAGGAAAAACTTGCTAGTGTAATGTTGAGAAAGATATCCCTTCTAATAATTTACAAAGCACTTCTGACTAATTGAAACGTAATTTTCTGTGTTTAGTATCTTACTGCACACGCAAGAGACAAATCTAAAAAAAAAAAGAATTGAAACTTCCATAACACTTAATTGTGACCTTCATCAAGGACTTATGGAGGCTTTATGCTACAAGAAGCATGGGCTGAATGAGACGAAGCAGTAGCCCTGTTGTCACTACAGGATATTGGTGCAGACTGTCTCTCATTTCCCTCTGCCAATTGTGCATCAATGATGGGTTTCCTCATCCATGTGCCCACTGGCTAGGACAGCCCCAGTGCGTTCCACTCATAATACTTTTACAACATATGCTACAGGATAGAACAACGACTATTTCAGTCTCAAACTGTGCTTATTGTAAATATCTATGTACATGGTGATGAGCGAGCGAGTTTAGTTTTACGCTGCACTCAGCAATATTCCAGCTATATGGCCGCGGTCTGTAAAAAATCCAGTGATCAACAACATGACCATCGATCTGCGCAATTGGGAACCGATGACATCAGGGGTGGAAATAACCCATTGCCCGACATCCAAGTCCAGTGTTTTTTTCTGTCGGGCAAGCACATTTGTATATTACACTGTAACGGTGTCCAGTTGACTTTCCAATGTTAATTATGTTGTTTATTTAAAAAATCAGCAAGAAAAACGGTTGGTATAGTGGAAAAATTATCAGGGGCAAGTGACTTTACATGCACCACTGTACCGGAGTACACTAGCAATTTTAAAGTTATTTCCACCCCTGGACATTTGTCAACCAAGTCAGCAAGCCTGACCACCCGCCCCTTTAGTCGCCTCTTATGACAAGACACGGTGATGAAGAAATAAAACACTATATTTGTCACTTACTTACTGTATACTGTAATTCTCCAGTTTCATGATGTCCATCAGATATTGGTGCTTTAGTTCCCCGAACCAAGTATATATTGGGTACACTGCTTATGATAGACTTATAGTGCAATCTGTCCACACAGATTTATGTGGGAGTTGCTTCCTTCTTTAACATATGTTACATTTGGGATTACACTTTCTCAGTAAACATGGTAAAGTACCGATTTTAGTGTTTTTGCTACTTTGGATTCAAACCATCACTCTCAGAGACAGGGACCCAAATGCCAGCACATAAAGTCAGCCACCCAACACACTCAGCTTCCTTCTTCACCAGTATTATGAAGCAGGTTGAAGACAAGATTACACAGTATGTTTTCTAGTTTCTGTATCTTTGATGCTGCACATTATTTGAAGCCTTTGATAGATTTTATAACCCATAAAGTTTAGCAAAAAATATGTGCAAAATGTAATTAAAAGTGTGTGATAGGCTCACCCGACACTAAGCAGCCCAGCAACAATCACTTGCAGCCCTTAGCATTGTTTTAAGAACTCTTTCAACACCAGTCAACCAGAAGCTTTTATGAACTCTTTCAACACCAGTCTAAGAGGATAGATGAAATCTTGAAACATTATTGCTACTACATGTCATACACTATTTGAAACGTCTAAATCTACTGTTAATAGATATGAAAGATATTTTAATCTTATTATTTAAATAATACAACTACAACTTAAATAAGTTTATTTTTAGTGAAAATGCAAGCTTACACATTTATAATGTCCAGATATACATTGAAGGAAGTGATAACTGCAGCAATTTTTTCCATTTGTAAGATGTCATAATATCCACTTACCTATTTCTTTCATATTCTCAGTTTTACGCAATCGGAAAATTATTAAAGAAAGATCTTTTTATTTATATATATGGTGGGCCATTGCCCATATCCCGGTTGTGACCTGTGACAAGACTTTCTTATGCATATATTTTATTACATTAAACATTGTGTCTTCACATGAAGATTGAGGCAACAAAAGCCAAGATGTCACTTGACTTATATTACACGATCGCAGGAAAAGATGGAAATAGTAATTAAGATGTACGTTTGACAACTTTTATGTGTACCTTCAGTTGATTTTATTCCTTAGTTAATTCTATTGATTTCCTCATTGATTAATAATTTCCTTGAAACAATGTTATTTTGCTCATTGACAACTGAGGTGTGGACTCATTGCCAAAGCATGTGTCCAATAATAGTTTTTTTCAATAACATTGCGATCTTGCAATCTAGGTATTTTACCCATGGTGTCTGTTATAAGTGGGTACTACTGATCTTCAGTGGGTACTCAAATTTTCCGATACGTACCCTTTTTTTAAATTAAGTATTTTCTATGTCAGTAATGTAAAAAAAATGTTTAAACAGATAACCATAGCCAACTGTTTGTACTTCAGACATTAACAAAACATGGTTGGTGTTAAAAGAGAAATACAAAAAATGTGAAGTCTTAGTTACCAGTACATTATTATTTGACTTGTTCAGTGAGCAAATTGAAATACAAACACGTCGGAGTGAATGTCATTTTAGACTGGTTCTGTTAACTGCAGCATAGTTTCATTTCATCAGATTGTTTATTGAAAGATAACCATGGAAAATTAATTTTCCATGCATCTCTTTTCGAAAGTCTATTGCCATCATGTTTCTTCGCCGGTGCGCGAGTGACAGCGGTAAGCAAATCTGTCAATATTCTATCAATAGCAGCCTTCTATTCAAAACAATTTCCAGTAAGTTCATCAATAATTTCTTTAGCAATGACAGAATTTTCAAAAGATCGATTTCCAACAGTGACAAATGACACAATCTTACTTTGAGATGATGTTTTAGAAGACGAAGACGAATGCACACGCGATTTCCATCTCTGTTGATAAACAATTCATTGGATGATATTTTCAGAAGAACTAATTACAATAAGTGTTACAAACATAACTAGCTGCGTTTGCGAGATTGTTTCTTTCTGTAGTTCATAAAGTGTACAGTTACATAGTGAAATTCATTCAATAATCTACCCGATCCACTCGTAACATTTGAGTAACACTCAAAGCTACTTACTGTTATGCATTTGTTTTTTACTGGTAAGTCAGGGTACGCAGGTCAACAACTAACCAAAGCGTTTCTGTAATATCCTTTGCGTATTTGGGACCGTACAGATATATTTTAGTACGTATTTTGAAAATTTCAATGCATCAATTACATGGTCAACATCCTTTGTTCCACAATAGCAAATAATGATTTACATCTGAATTCGGCACTCTTAGTTGTCAGAAGTTCCAAATGTTCAAAGCTTGCTTGGATGAAATCATATAATTATGGAACAAGTAACCACTGCATCATTGAATACAACGAAAACACAACCATTGAAAACAGTTCTCATATTCTCATAAAAAAATTATCCTCAAAATGACATAAAAACTCCAAACTTTATGAGTCTGCCCTCTACACACACCATACACATAGTAGCTAGATTCAACCAGGAGAAACCTCCCTCACATCCCTCCTCACATCTGTGTGGAGGAAGATTCACCTGCTTAGTTGCCTCCACTGACAGGTGCTCTGATAGGGAAGTCTCTGTAATGAGCAGGATCAGATAATACCAAGCTTCACATGTACTGGGCCATAAACTTGGACAGCTGATGCCAGCATACTGGCCCATCACTACATCCTTCTGATGCCTATCTTTGCTGGAAGAATTCTCCACTGGAGCTGACCAACCATTAACCATGTTTAGACTGAAACATAATCAATCCTCTCAACGTGAGACCTATAAATTTCTAGTTCAAAAGCAAAAGTCAATGACAGCTATAGAGGATTTTTTATCTCATGGTTTCAAAGCTGATTTAAAATTTCTACATTTTGTGGCTGTCATGTAGGACATTTTGTAATTTGTTATATGTGATGCCTCACTTTAGTTCAGGTGGGCCCAGCAAAATCCACAAAACATTTCAAAACAATATATCAAATCATTGGGACAATTTAAGCAATATATCTCTGCTAAGATTTGCTATGACAGCATGTTTCTCTGAAATTCTAACAAGAAGATCTACATAGATAAAGTTTTAAGGCTTGGAAATAAATTTGACAAGAAATATTCACATACTGATTAATGTATATCACCATGTACAGTGCGACCCTCTACAAGCTATCAAAATCCACGTTATTTTACATACCATCCATAACACTACCCTTTGTTTGCACATGATCAGAGATTACATGATTCCTCAATTTGTAATAAACATGTGTTTGTGTCACAATAATATCGTATACAATGCTTGGCCGTGTAGATCTCCAGCCCATGCCATTTTGTGTGTTGACAAGGTGTTCACTAAACTTCTGAAGGAAGTTAGGCAAAGACGGTTTATTTCCTGTAATTTACTCACCAATTATCTATGTTTCCATATACCAGGCTTAGTTTTGTTTATCTATGAGGAACTGATTTCAGGTTCACTGGTTGCGTATCACATGTGAAGTGACAAGGGGAAATGATCTCAAGTTATGAAGATGTAAGGTAATGGAATCTGTAACCCTTCTACACTCCTGTAGTTTCTGTATGGGAAACACAGCTCGTTATACACATGAAAATATGCATCCTGTCTTGTTTTCTATTTAGCTCTTTTGACTGCTGCAAATTTTGCCAATTGTAAGACATCATAAGGGATCATTTTATCTGATGAGGGCCTTTGGCCCATGCGTTTAGATATGACTTGGAACTTTGTCCCATCACTGGTGCCCAAACAGGTACCAACCACAATGTTGTCAGGGGAGGAAGCACCCATTAATTTTGTGTGTGTGTGTGTGTGTGTGTGTGTGTGTGTGTGTGTGTGTGTGTGTGTGTGTGTGTGTGTGTGTGTGTGTGTGTGTGTGTGTGTGTGTGTGTGTGTGTGTGTGTGTGTGTGTGCATTCACTAAAGGTATATGATGTACATGAAGTTGCATGCAAGCACATTACTCCCTATACTCAAGAAAATATGCCATTTCCAATGTTCGGTTTTTAAGCCGATTTTTGCATCACAGAAACCAGAGGACTACTGAACGATGCATTGCAGGATAATGTAGACTCATGCGGAAGTTAGCGTAGTAATGCATTCTCGCTTATCTGTACCAAATCTTAAGCAGAAGGAAATGGTTGATCAAGTGGTTTGAACTTCCACTGACATCAACATGGATTATTAACTTATAAATATACTATTTGTTTTTCATGAGGACCCTAATGTTAACTTTTATTGGCCCATTTGAGAATAATACACCCTAATAGTGTTAGGGATGTTATATTACATGCACATATGGCTCAAAGGCATGGTCCAACTCCAAAATGATCCCTGCATCATAATATTCTCTTACCCCTTTCTTCTGTATTTTCATGTTTACGTGTCTGGTGACTCATGACATGTTGGGCAGATTCCCAGTCTGCAGTGTTTAATAGTGTTAAATACAAAATGTCTTATGCTGAAATATACACAAACTGCGTAAATGACTGTGATTTGTTGCATTATTACAAGAGATGTCATGTCATCAAAGCTTCAAACGTCACAGTACACACATCAGTAAGTCAACACTATGTTCATGTGAAGAACTGTCCACGTGTCAGAACAGTCTGCCATCATTCAGAATATTGCTGACAACAACATCACGATGAAAAGGAAGATAAAACAGTGAAGATTTCTTCAGCACATTCCAAACAATATTTTGACTCATCAAGTTTCAATTTGGTGTTTTCAATTCCAAATCAAAATGAATATTGTAAAGAACTGTGCACTACACACAGATTTTCAATCATAAAAAACCCAAAAGTACCAACTGATCAAGTGTTTGAACACAGGTGACATGACTCGAGTGCAGTATTCACAGAAAAGGTAATAGAGCTCACTCCAATCTCTTTCTCAGACTATCAATGTATACAGTGATACAAGATGTATGAACATAAATTTAAGTTTTGTTTATTTCATCGCTAGAAACACCTGCAGAATCATATAATGGTATGAAAAATAAGGTATGAGAGGATAATACACTGATCCCTCGCAATAACGCTCTTCGCGATACTGCAGATTCGGTTAAACTGCGGGGTAATCCGTGGCTCCCATAAAAAAAAGAAGACAAAGTCATCAATATCCCCCGCAATGGCAAAATACTCTTCATGATTATGTCTACGAGTTATGATTATGTCAAATATTTAGGTGTGTATATAGAAAAGTGGAAGGAGAGTATTGAAAGGTTTTTAAAGTTCTGCTCCGGAAAAGAGCACTACCACCAATTTCAGTCGAAGTCGAACTTGTTGCCATGGAAACGCCAAAAATATTTTATTCAGAATTCCAAAACTACCAAAAGGCACCAGCACACCACCAAACCTATGTATGTGCCAAGTTTGGTGAAGAAATATTGAACGGTTTTAGAGTTCTGCTCTGGAAAAGACAAATGTGCACGGATGGACGGATTGCACGCACGGACAAGGACCATTTAAATACCCCCCCATAAAACGTGTTGCGGGGGATAAAAAGTTGCCCAGCGATCACACATCTTCACATCATCGAAAATAGCATAAAAACAAATCTGCTGTTGAGCTCTCATAAAGACATGCCATAAGCCGAGTACTTACAATGTTTGCTGTGATGCAACTCACCGAGATATTACGCGGGTAAACACCGCCATCCGAGAACGTATGATGTCAGAAAACACATTTTATTTGATTAAATTCAATCCCATTTTCATTCATTAAAACTGTTTACAGTAACAACGGAGAAACCGTGAGTGAAATGGCATTACCTCATTCCATACAACTTCCGCTTACCACATTCGCGAGGGTCCGTTTTTCGCGCCTACCACGATAGCACCAATTTCACATTATTCTTAGCAATCACGAACAGATTACAGGCTCGTCATCCATGGACCCCAAGACCTGCGTTATTGACTCATTGAAGTCATATTTGACAATTAATTGCCAACATTTTGTTTTTACAATCAAAGTGGCATGTACCGCGGAAAGTCAGCGGTGACTTTGTCAAACTGTCTCCTACATAAAATGTATCCAGCCAGGTAACCCAAAGTGCTTAGCCTATGTTAATTATTATGTTAAATATGTTGTAGTAAACATGCCTTATACTAATAAGATAGCAATATATAATATCTCTGTTAAAATAACTGTTTAAGATATAAATTATTCTGATAATGGAATACAACTCCTTTGATGTTATGTTATCGGATTGTTTTTAACTGAATCACCGGTACATTGGACCGAAACAACTGTGCACAGCTGATTGCTATTTCCGACTAAGTTGAATAACAGGTAGCATAACAGGAACAACAATTGATTTATCATGTTTATTGCAAGTTTCCAGTACATACATCTGTTTTCATTTACAAAGTTTGTTTTTTCACCTCCAACGATACAATATAGTTTCGACTGGGCACAATACACGAAATAGCAGTTTTGTTATGTCCATGGAAAATACGATTTTACTTGGCCTTTGTCCCGCGTGTCTAATAACGTGGGGGGTCATCTATGGACCCCAAGACCCGCGTTATGGCGAGGGATGACTGTACAATGGGATTTTCCTAATTTTGATATGAAATGTATAAAGTTCCATTTCCAAACTTAATTTCACCTCTGGCGGTAAAATATTGGAGAGGACTGAAAAAGGGTTTACGGGTGACTTTGTTTTTACAAACTCCGCATAATTGACTTATATACAGGGGTAGAAATACTTTATTTTCTAAGTGTGCCTTAGGGCACCAGGCAAATATTTTAAATGTGCCTTTCAGAAATCAAGTGTGCCCACATGTTTTTAGAATGAATGACTGTAGCAGTGATGATGATCCTTTGAAATTTATTGTTAGTAAACAACAAATATAACCTGTTTTCACTGATATGTCTTCTGTTTAATGGCTTTCTTAAGCTTCATTTGTACTACTTTCCAAACACTTTTAATAGCTGAGAATTTTGTGACAGGTAATTGTTCAACATATCTAACATACACAATTTCCTCTTCAATAACCTAACTATCAGTACTCCCATCACTCTTAATGGAAAAACAACCAGATTTCTTTACATCATCCATCATAATTCCATTGATTTCCTGGGCGATAAAGTCAAGAAATGTTTTTGCTTGTTTGTCATTTGCGTAAGTGTCTTGTTTTGGGGATTAAATGACTAAAGGTGAGTTATGTCTCTAAAAATATTAGGCGTGCCACAAGGGCACAGAGAACAGTTTTTATCCGTGCCATTTCAATATTAACCATGCCATGGCACCCTAATATATGGAGTATTTCGAACCCTGATATAGTTTTGCTTTTAAACTTACCAAGAAAACCTATTGAAAGTCTATGACATACAGTCTCTTGAGATGCTCTTAAACCCTGTCTGCAATCAATTCCACCGTTCATTCATTTGTTGTGCGTAAACTGATCAGTGAAACACTAAATAAACATACCTGCAAATGATGAGTACAGCTATCCCTGGTACTGCTGGCTTGGAATTCTCCTGCAAACAAAAGAACAATTGATGTGATTAACAAAGAACTGATAAATCATTTTCAAATGATCATGCATATTTCCTTGGAAACCAGTAGTTGACATCTCTTCTCTGAAGTCATCATCCTGATTGCCCCCAACACCACACCATGAAGATTACTCATTTAAGTACTAATTACTTTGAGATTTAAAGATGTCTCACTATCAGTTACTCTACTGAGCATGCAACAATACAAGCGAATTGAGTTACATCAGTTAAGAGCCAAAACTTGTTATAATTTAGTCAATTCTGATGTCAATAATTTCAGACATTTACACCAGGAAAGATAATCATAATAAATAGAAATAAGTTATTTGACAGATAATTTTCAAATAGCAAAGTCATTTCATTCACTAAATTACTTGTTTGTTGGTATTAAGAGGAATGGAGCAGAAGTAGACAGCCTCGAGTGCTTCCTGATTGTCTCTTGACACTGTCCAACTGATCATGATCACACTGATCACTTCAGAAACATTAACCCCTTTCATGTGGGGGAAAGACTTGCCAAATATAGTTAAATCTTCTCTAGACATTGTGATCAGAATGTTATAGATACTAACAAGGAAAAAGTAACTATGCTTAACATAAAATATAGGTTATTTGTAAAGTTATAAAAATAATCCTAAATAAACTTGTAGCAAAGTACTTTGCATAAAATTTGATGTAACATATTGTGCACGGCACGTGCACTTTGTGCACAATGAACTGACTCACTTTTGGCCATCATTGATAATATCCTGGGTATACGTTCCAATAAATCTCCACTGAGTACCCTGGATGCATCTACGGCTCTCCACAATAATTCTATTACCTCCCTTTGCAGGCTTTTTATCCAATCAGGTGTCTATGCTGGGAAGTCAAGCGTACCAATCATAAGTCTTCTATCATAACTCACTCCCGCTTTATTTATCTAACTGACTAAACTATCAACACAATTGTTGCAGAGGTACTCAGTAAGAGGTAGGAGATATTGCATATATTTTTGTAAGGTTTCAAACCTGTCAAAAACAGTCAATTAGTCTGTATCATTTTTTCCTTAAATCTGAGTCGCACAGCAAGCAAACTTTCGCAGCTGCAGCTGCCATCTTTGTTATCACTGGCAAGCTCAGTTGTAACGGCTTATCTGTTTGGCTACTGTGAGAATGCGGAGTCAGCAAAAGGAGGTAATAGAAAGAATTATCCGTAGATGCATCAAGGGTACAAGTTGACATTTATCGGAACATATACCCTGGAGATTATTGAGGATGACTTTTTGACACACTCCTGATATTGAAAATTGAAGAACAGCAAGACAACCACATTCGGCTGACCCATCTAAGGAATCAATTCCTGACTACCAGTTTGACTGCTTGGACCATTCCTGGCTTACGTCCAATCAGTTCCAGGACTGTACACAACCGATTGAGGGAGCACAACATCTGGCCCAGACCACCTACAATATGTCCAAGTTTGTTCCAAAATCACTGACAGGCAAGTCTTGTCTTCAGCGAGGTGAACGGTACACTGAAGCGTGTGATGTTTAATGTCGACAGTTTGGTGGCAGAAGCATTATGGTATGGGGAGGCACCACATTTCTTGGTCAGACACAACTTGTCATTGTCAATATCAATCTGACAGGTCTGCCACAAAGGGATGAGATCCTTGGACCTCGTGCAGCCGTTCATTCATGGACAGAGATGTAACATTACGCCTCGGCAAGATAATGCCCATCCACAAGCGTTGGTTCAGACATGGCTTACCATTCCCCAAGCTGTTTTCAATCTCTATTAGTGTTGTCTATGTGTCGTCGATGTGAAGCCTGCATCAACGCCAGTGGTGGACACACACAATACTGAATTTAGACTAATTTAGAACTAAAGCTACATACTTTTGAAGATAAATGTTTGAATCCTCCCCTCATGAACTCATGTCGATGTCAAAGGCAGTAAATGCCACGGCATCGATGAAGGTGGTTTGCTTCCCATGTGCCCTCTGCTGACTGATGCACCTTGTATGCCATATATCAGACACGATAATAAGTACCCAAATTTCAGGAACACAAGTCAATGTTAGCTGATATTTAAAGTGCCACAATAGGCCAAATGTTTGTTAGTCTTTCATAATCAAGTTAATATCGCAATACTGGCCTATCGATCCAGGAACTCTTTCTTCATTCCTTCTGAATGCCAGACATGGGTGTTCAGATGAGTTAACAAGACTAAGAAAACTGACAATTTTGACAATGTGAAATATCTATTAGCAACAGGATTGGTGGACAAGACAGGCCTCCAGATAAGGGTCGTATTGGCGTATCTACGGATAAAAATATGCAAGATATGGTAGGAAATAATTTAGAAAGCGTAGCAGATATGCACCACAGCAATGGTGTACGGTCTTAGAATCATTTACAGATGTATTTATCTGAAAACGTATTGCTTTATTGTTTATTGGCCTGTTTACAAAAGAGTAGCAATGTTGTGGCACATATATGAAACGAAACACAAGATTACTGATACTCCATTAAATTCCATACAGTACTCTAAATGTACTCTTATTGTTTTCCAGTACTCTTGTATTGAAAAAATAAGGAATACGTACTCCTGATCATGAAAAATTATGTGGAGCCCTGCAAGACATGTTTGCCTTTGGGCCTGAATATGATTCCAACTGACTTGTATTACTTATTTTCCTATGACTGTCTTGTAATGCCCGACACCAAAGAAACTAAACCATTTATGTAATTTGTGACATAATGATCTGATCATTACATGAACCAGCCTACAAACAATGTTTTCTCTAGGGCACTGAGGAACCACTTTTCCCCTGTGATACAGCTTGTCATTACATGGCATATACAGTCCAGCGAATTGAAAGAAATGGTAGCGAAATGCTACTGAGTGCCAAATCATGAAAAAACAATAGTGCCACAGCTTAGTTAGCTTACCTGGTCAGCATTGATACTCAAAACCTCAAAGCATGAATCTGTGAGGACTATACAAGCTCACATTAAAATTAAATGATATGAACAATATCTGAACTGTGATCATAAAGAAAACGAAACACTGCCAAAATTCAAGTCCACTAACATCCAATATATTGTTCGACCATATTCTGCTGATGTGGAATTGCAAAGGAAAGTTTCAATCAGAATTCCTTTTTTCTGAACTGATTCCAAAAGTCGATCATTCTCCCAGCAGATGTCGGACATTTTAACATCTGAATTTAGTGCTTGGCTTTCTTCTTCTCTCCAAACACTGAATACTCTATGGCAATGTCATACAAAAGTATAAATATTTCTAATGATTTTTGTCAAATCCACCAAAATACGAGGATCAATGACCACTTGGGGAAACTGTTGAGAACCGTGTCAATTGGGTCTGATTGTGCCTCAGTAGGCGGTGATGGATGTTACATGTTGTGTGTGTATGGAAGGAGGAGGAGTTGGAGGATTATGTCACAGATTCAACATGGGGAATGGGAGTCTGAGGACAGTGACGAGAAGGGGCAGAGTGGAGACTGGGTGCACAGGGTGTAGAGACGTAGAGACGTACACAGGGTGAAGACTGGGTGCACAGGGTGTAGAGACGTACACAGGGTGGAGACTGGGTGCACAGGGTGTAGAGACGTAGGCATGTACACAGGGTGGAGACTAGGTGCACAGGGTGTAGAGACGTAGACATGTACACAGGGTGAAGACTGGGTGCACAGGGTGTAGAGACGTAGAGATGTGACACAGGGTGAAGACTGGGTGCACAGGGTGTAGAGACGTAGAGACGTACACAGGGTGAAGACTGGGTGCACTGGGTGTAGAGACGTAGAGACGTACACAGGGTGAAGACTGGGTGCACAGGGTGTAGAGACGTAGAGACGTACACAGGGTGGAGACTGGGTGCACAGGGTGTAGAGACGTAGAGACGTACACAGGGTGAAGACTGGATGCACAGGGTGTAGAGACGTGAGGCGTGCACAGGGGTGGAGACTGGGTGCACAGGGTGTAGAGACGTGAGAGGCGTGCACAGGGTGAAGACTGGGTGCACTGGGTGTAGAGGCGTAGAGACGTACACAGGGTAAAGACTGGGTGCACAGGGTGTAGAGACGTAGAGACGTACACAGGGTGAAGACTGGGTGCACTGGGTGTAGAGACGTAGAGACGTACACAGGGTGGAGACTGGGTGCACAGGGTGTAGAGACGTAGAGACGTACACAGGATGAAGACTGGGTGTACAGGGTGTAGAGAGATGAATACAAGGTGAAGACTAGGTGAACAGGGTGTAGAGAGATGAATACAAGGTGAAGACTAGGTGAACAGGGTGTAGAGAGATGTACACAAGGTGAAGACTAGGTGAACAGTAGTGTTGGGAATCGGTTGTGATTTCATAATCGATCATCGGTTACAATCGGATTGGCTCAACCGATCAATCATCGGTTAATAATCGGTTAAATGAAATGACAAGAATAACCTCTGAATAAAACATATGTTACGCATATGTGTTTGGTATTGTCTCAGACTCCTAAAGGTAAGTAAGTTCAGTTCAGAGACAGATGGTTGAATTTGAACAAAAGAAAAGAAAAAGAATTTGTTCTTTTTATGGTTTATTATTTATTTACCATCAATGCCAGAGATGCCAACCTCAACAATTTTATCATACTAGTGGCTACAAATTTTAGCCTAAACTACGCCAATACGTTTCACTAGAAATTCTACGAAATTGGAAGAAAATTCATTGAAATTCGAAATATATAGACACAAACATATATTTTCGTCGACTAAGTACAAGACAAATATCAATTATGTTCTTGATTTCGACAAATAAATAATCTCTTATCATTTATGAAATCAACTTTCAGGATTTATTTCATATATTTTATGTTTGCAAGTAGATATATATCCAAAAGTGACTGACATAGCAAAGTAAAAGGGTACTCAAGTTTTAACCTGATTTACGATAATTCATGTCACAAGGCCTACATGTCATTCGTTTTCAATAACGTTTCAATTTGTTTGTATGTATTATGTAGTTTCAAATTTCGTACTGATAGTAATAGACTTCTGAGTCTGGACGGATTCATATCATGCACGTATAACATGATGATACAGTAAACAACACATTCATAACATTTTTACTTTTCTATTAGACCATTCACTTGATAGTATCACGAAATTATGAGTAGATACCTTTGTTTGCGTGTTCCTTTCGACAAATACGACAAATCGCCTTTGACATGTCAAGTTTTTCCTTCGTTGGGGACCCCTGACATTTCTTCCAAAATCCGAAATTCTTCCAAACGTTGGATCTGCCTTTCCCGCAAGGGTAGTTGAATATTTCATCGACATCAACCCGGTCGGCAGCCGCCATTTTGTTTGGCGTGAAAGCTAACAACAATTATGATTTCACCAAAACTTCGCTTATTTATCTTAACACATTACTGGCAGATCATTACTTATTTAGACTTTTGGTTCCTTTTGTTTATTTTTTATATTCTGCAGCTGGGTTATTATGTATTTAGATACGTCCGTCATGAACAAGATAAGCAGCAGTTGTACGCTCATGGAATGAGGTAAACATGCAAGTCATCGCTGCACCGGAGTGTGCATGCCAGTTTGTTGTGATCGACATCTACAATAAATATGACATTAAGCGAAACAAAATATATACACTGTGTATCAAGGCGTAAGTAGACGCAATATGATTGTGAATTTTGTGAATAATGCGGACCGAAGTTATAATCATCTGTAACTGCCAGTTAAAACTGTTCTCTTGTGGTCTGAGTTGGGTATTCATTACTGTTTTCGTAAAAATTATTAGCGACAATCGATTATGAAATTTTGCAATCGATTGTCGCGTCGGAAAAGGGTAACCAATCAATTTTTGATTATAATCGATCATCGGAACACCACTAGTGAACAGGGTGTAGAGAGATGAATACAAGGTGAAGACTAGGTGAACAGGGTGTAGAGAGATGACACAAAGTGAAGATTAGGTGAACAGGGTGAAGAGAGACGTACACAAGGTGAAGACTAGGTGAACAGGGTGTAGAGAGATGAATACAAGGTGAAGACAAGGTGAACAGGGTGTAGAGAGACGTACACAAAGTGAAGACTAGGTGAACAGGGTGTAGAGAGACGTACACAGGGTGAAGACTAGGTGAACAGGGTGTAGAGAGACAAATACAAGGTGAAGACTAGGTGAACAGGGTGTAGAGAGACGTACACAAGGTGAAGACTAGGTGGACAGGGTGTAGAGAGATGTACACAAGGTGAAGACTAGGTGAACAGGTTGTAGAGAGACGAATACAAGGTGAAGACTAGGTGAACAGGGTGTAGAGAAACGTACACAAGGTGAAGACTAGGTGAACAGGGTGTAGAGAGACGTACACAAGGTGAAGACTAGGTGAACAGGGTGTAGAGAGACGTACACAAGGTGAAGACTAGGTGAACAGGGTGTAGAGAGACGTACACAAGGTGAAGACTAGGTGAACAGGGTGAAGAGAGACGTACACAAGGTGAAAAATGTATGGTGAAGACATGATGCACATGGTGAAGAAAGCAGCACATAGGGTGAACATTGGGTACACAGAATGAAGAATGTATCACTTAGGGTTCACAGGTTCAAGAAAGTGGTACACAGAATGAAGAATGTATCACTTCAGGGTTCACAGGTTGAAGAAAGTGGTACACAGAATGAAGAAAACAGCACATATATGAAGACGTGGTTAATCACAGGATCACAGAGCACTAAACATATGAAGTAAGGGTGCACAGGATAAAGAGAGCAGAGCTCAGAGTGAAGATAGGGTGCACAGAGTAAAGAGCACAGGTCAAGAAAGTGTCTGTGAGAAGGTGGTGCAAAGGGGGTCAAGGGCCTGTAGTTCCAGAACAAAACCTGGCATGCTGATATTTGGCAGCCATACGAAAGGCTAGACTGACATTTATTTTGAACTTTAGTTATCTTATATAGTTATATCTCTTACAAACAATACATTTATCTACAAAAACAATGTAAAACAAGTTCAGCCCAGAGTTAGAACAATTTAAACTTCCAACAATCATTCTTGATTTGAGTTCAACTCTGGGGTCAGGGAGACCAATTAATGAAAGAAGCACATTCCCAGCTTCTGATAATCTGTGTGGGGGCCAGACAATTGTCCTTATCATTTAAAGAAGGCATCCATACCATCGATCAGTTCTACCATCTCCGATGGACAGTCACCCTAATTACAGCATTATTGGAACAGTTGTTCTCAAGAAAGATCCCAATGATTCAAGTTTACGAACTATCTTGACTACATTATCAATGACTTGTTTCTTTCCTAGGTTAGTGTTTGTGACATCTGTGGTAACATAAGAAAAACACTTAAGCTGATCACTAGGTTACTAAAAAAGTACTGCTATGTTTAGATTGTATCTATTTATTCTTGGTGAATAATGACATCATCATAACAGTGACAACAGATAACAATGACAAATTTCGATAAGTGAAATATAAATAAGTGTGGGTGACACTAATATATTCAATATGGTGAAATAAGCTAGAAAGTTGCTTTCATTACATACAAAAAACACAAGCAGACCATCTCAATCTGTTCCTGAATGTCCAAAATCTTTCAGCATGATCAGAAACATGCAACAAAACATTATTTTGACATGACTAAATCAGGTGACAGCTGGCTAAACACTTATCTAAGTCTAAAACACATCCTGTTAAACAACATTGCTTCCAGTAGTATCCTTAGTTGCGTAGATCAATGCTCATGCTGTTGATCACTGGATTGTGTGGTCGTGACACGATTATTTACCAACGGTCGCCATATAGCTGGAATATCCCTGAGTGTGGCGTTAAACAACCAACCAACCAATGCTTCCAGTAATGGAAACCACTTGCCCAATGCAGTAAAATAGAAAGTCCCATGCATCTACCTAACTTAGTAACAACCACTTTCAGTTTGATCACCTTAACCTTTAATCTTAGCCATGAGAAGCACATATAAAATATTGTCTCAGACATCTTCATCATGTTCAGACATCTTCATCATGTTCAGACATCTTCATCATGTTCTGATTGTTCAGCCATTTTCATCATGTTCAGACAATGCATTGTGACACAGCACAGCATGACAACAAGGTTTCATTGTACTTGGTTGTCCTTTCATTTTCAATATGGTTACAGTATTTCCTGTCCTAATGTGACAATGCTGGCTAAAACTACAACATTTGTTAATGTTTCAAACAAGAGGTATTCCCCTTATTGTAAACAAATTGACACCTGACACAAACCCATGTGGCATATCCAAGAAGGAATAGATCTATAATCCAGCCAGGAATAGATCTATAATCCAGCCAGGAATAGATCTATAATCCAGCCAGGAATAGATCTATAATCCAGCCAGGAGTAGATCTATAATCCAGCCAGGAATAGATCTATAATCCAGCCAGGAATAGATCTATAATCCAGCCAGGATAATCCAGATAGATCTATAGGATCTATAATCAGACTAGGAATAGATCTATAATCCAGCCAGGAGTAGATCTATAATCCAGCCAGGAGTAGATCTATAATCCAGCCAGGAGTAGATCTATAATCCAGCCAGGAATAGATCTATAATCCAGCCAGGAAAAGATCTATAATCCAGACAGGAATAGATCTATAATCCAGACAGGAATAGATCTATAATCCAGACAGGAATAGATCTATAATCCAGCCAATCCAGCCAGGAATAGATCTATAATCCAGACAGGAATAGATCTATAATCCAGACAGGAATAGATCTATAATCCAGCCAGGAATAGATCTATAATCCAGCCAGGAGTAGATCTATAATCCAGCCAGGAATAGATCTATAATCCAGCCAGGAGTAGATCTATAATCCAGCCAGGAGTAGATCTATAATCCAGCCAGGAATAGATCTATAATCCAGCCAGGAATAGATCTATAATCCAGCCAGGAGTAGATCTATAATCCAGCCAGGAATAGATCTATAATCCAGCCAGGAATAGATCTATAATCCAGCCAGGAGTAGATCTATAATCCAGGCCAGGAGTAGATCTATAATCCAGCCAGGAATAGATCTATAATCCAGCCAGGAATAGATCTATAATCCAGACAGGAATAGATCTATAATCCAGCCAGGAGTAGATCAATAATCCAGCCAGGAATAGATCTATAATCCAGCCAGGAATAGATCTATAATCCAGCCAGGAGTAGATCAATAATCCAGCCAGGAATAGATCTATAATCCAGCCAGGAATAGATCTATAATCCAGCCAGGAGTAGATCTATAATCCAGCCAGGAGTAGATCTATAATCCAGCCAGGAATAGATCTATTATCCAGACAGGAATAGATCTATAATCCAGCCAGGAATAGATCTATAATCCAGCCAGGAATAGATCTATAATCCAGCCAGGAGTAGATCAATAATCCAGCCAGGAATAGATCTATAATCCAGCCAGGAATAGATCTATAATCCAGCCAGGAGTAGATCTATAATCCAGCCAGGAGTAGATCTATAATCCAGCCAGGAATAGATCTATAATCCAGCCAGGAATAGATCTATTATCCAGCCAGGAATAGATCTATAATCCAGCCAGGAATAGATCTATAATCCAGCCACGATTGTAAAATGAGGCATGATGAGGAGAATGATGAAAAGAATCCATGAGCTTCAAAAGAGATCAGAGAAAATATCCAATATCGGGAAATATTATTTACAAGTTTCTATCCACTGATACTGTTGATTAGTGTTGGGAATTGGTTGTAATCTCACAATTGATTATTGCTTCATTGAAAAAAATTGGTTAGTGTCATTTTTCTGATTTTCCTATCCAGGTTGTTATTGTAGATATGTATAACATGATGCAACCTGCTACTTTAAAGTGATGACTAATATATCATGAACATAAACTTCCCGGAGTCCTCAAGAAATATTCAGTCATGATATATATTTCAGTTAGTGAAGTGAGTTTTCAAAGAATTAAACAGGTTTTCAGGCCCTGACAACTTCGAAGATATGTTCCATCGACAAGTGTTTCAAAGACTTAAACAGTAGTTCCAAAATCGTTTGTGTTCGATTATGAGAAAATGTGATCGGTTGCTTGGTCATTTGGTAACTGCGACCAATCTTCGATTATTTCAATTAATCGGAACACCACTACTGTTGATCAAACTATACACATTTCTGTATATGCATAAGTGTTACCCATTAAGTCAGCCAGTGGAATTGTTCAATACAATGACCCTACAAGCTCTCATAGGCTCAGAAACACCTGACACTAAAGTACAAACTACAACTTTATTGAAACTGAAATTAGCCTAGAAAAGAGACTTCTTTACGTATGAGGTGACATGACCACCAAAGTCACAGCTTACATTTTCTTGTCAGACAGAGTATAAGGTGACATTCCTAATTCAACTCTGCAAATGTCAATTTAACAGAACTGACGCCAAACTTCTATAGCTTCTGGATAATTCTTCGTAATCACATTATGTAACAAACACACTGTCATACAAGTTCATAATGTGATACAGCACTTCAAGATTCTGGATAAAATGTCGTTGAACATTAAGTTCCATCATCAAACTACAGAAACATGTCCAGCACTACACACTACACATGGAAACGCTCTATTACCTTGGCATGCTTCATCTTTACATCTCATGTGGGCCTTACAGTAATTCACCTCAATCTATTGGTTTTCACTCAATATGGTCACATATGAAACTTTGTTTCATTGATAAAGAAAGAAACAAAAGAGACTTTTCAGGGTCTTCATTTTACACTTTTTTTCAACCAAACACAATCTTGCTTTGCATTCAGTATTATTAGTTTTTACATGGATCCGCTACAAGAATATTATGAGTGAACAGTATCAAATCAAACAGAACAGTAACCATTTGCCATTAACATAATGCTTGCATACCCTGTACAGATAATGCCTCTTGGTGAATGCCTCAGAGACAATAAACACAATAAACATTAATATGTCACACCATGTACACTGTACACACTAACACAGGGTGTTACCCTGACATTCAGAAGATGTGAACCAGAAGACCTAAATCATTTATATCAAGGGTGCATGCCTGTAGTATGAGGGCCCTGTGTGGTGATGGAAGGAATGGAATAGTGTACCATACACGTTAGAGCCTGGTAGGAGTCAGTGACCATCTGGACAGAGGTCATTATTGATGGGTCAAATGACATCAACAGCTCTTGATTTGTAGTAGGTGTAATTATTATTCCCTCAGGTTGCAGTATATCTTTTTCAGTACTGGATGCGCACTTGTGCTACACATAAAACACTGTTTGTTGGTTGATTGGTTTGTTTAATGCAGCAATTTTCCAGTCATACAATTCTGGATTGTATGAATGTCAAGTCTAAACCAGAAACTCACTATACACATGCATCCACTTTATAATTCAGCCTAACCTTCCCATCAATAAAACAGTGAACATCAGAAAAAAGAAGTGTGACCCGATGTATACATGAGCATCGAAATACAGTTGGGATACAATGACATGTATCACAAGCATTTACTTCAACACAGATGTTACTGAATTACACTTCTTTGTGACACTATGTACACCATGCATTAATGTGCTACACTGTACACCTTGCATTAATGTGCTACACTGTACACAATCCATTAATGTGCTACACTGTACACAATGCATTAATGTGCTACACTGTACACCATGCATTAATGTGCTACACTGTACACAATGCATTAATGTGCTACACTGTACACCATGCATTAATGTGCTACACTGTACACCATGCATTAATGTGCTACACCATGTACATGATACACATTAATGTGCTACACCATGTACATGATACACATTAATGTGTTACACTGTACACCATACACATTATTGTGCTACACCATGTACATGATACACATTGTGTTACACTGTACACCATACACATTAATGTGCTACACCATGGTTGATTGGTTTGTTTAATGCAGCAATTTTCCAGTCATACAATTCTGTACACAATGCATTAATGTGCTACACTGTACACCATGCATTAATGTGCTACACAGTACACCATGCATTAATGTGCTACACTGTACACCATGCATTAATGTGCTACACCATAGACCATACACATTAGGACAACAGTACCATAGTTCTGATGAAACCGCAGCCACAGTCATCCAGTCAAAACTGATAAAACTGGATCAACTCTGTGTGAAGTACCGACTGAGTATCTCACCATGTGGGTAATAAAGCTCAATATGGCCTGCTTGCTGTTAATGGCAAAATCAACATGCAGACACCATCTTAGTGAAGTTGGTATCATGGCTATATTGAGGTACCTACTTACATTGTATAGTAGCTGATGGAAAGGGTGTATACTTGGATTGGCTCATCTCTCTTGCATTCCAAAACAAACACACAGAGTAAAAACAAAAACAAACAAGAAGAAAAAGTCATCAATATCCCCCGCAATGGCAAAATACCCTTCATGATTATGTGTACGAGTTATGATCATGTCAAAGAAATATTGAACAGTTTTAGAGTTATGGTCCGGAAAAGAGCACTACCACCAATTTCAGTCTAAGTCGATCTTGTTGCCATGGAAACGCCAAAAATATTTTATTCAGAATTCCAAAACTACCAAAAGGCACCAGTACACCACCAGATCTATCTATGTGCCAAGTTTGGTGAAGAAACAGGGAACGGTTTTAGAGTTCTGCTCTGGAAAAGACAAATGTGCACGAACGACGGACGCACGCATGGACGGAGTCCATTTTAATACTCCTAACCCACTCCTAACCTCAGGGGCTTGTAACGCGAAAAACTGCCATCAAGGTATATACTGTCACTGACGGGGTCTTAGTACTATATAAAAGGAAAGCGATGTAACGAGGTCAACACACCAGGTTCGTTTCAGGGCGAATTCAACAATACTCACTGTATTTATCCCATTTAAAGTAGTATGCACACATTTCAAGCCAATAGATTTACCTACAAAATAAGACATACGGCACTAAAATCGAAGCAGTACTTTGGGAGCTAGGGTCTTCAGAAGCTCGAAAAACCGTGATTTCTCGATTCCGAGCCAAAATCCCTGCTCAGAATTTGTTGCGGTAACTCACCCATTTTCTTGTTTATTTCACAGTATACACAAACAACATGCACCAAAACATGTTGAACTGACGGCACCTGTCAGCTCGCTAGTCGTCATTCTTTCAGAGACACTTACATCTCACTGTCATAATGAGTTTACGTACATTTATTCATAACCTGCCCCACACTTAAAAGAGTCGGCGATTTGATTGGACATAATTTATTTTTAACCAATGAGCTCCCTTGCTCTTTTAAGTGCGGGGCAGGTTAAGGCCAAGGTCATCAATGGCGAACGGGCATGACACAATTCTGTTTGCGATGAATAAACTTTAATGTACATAAACTCATTATGACAGTGAGATGTAAGTGTCTCCGAAAGAATGGCGACTAGCGCGCTGACAGGTAAATATACCACACTATATCATGGAATTCCATGAGTTCTCTTGTTGAGTTATTCTATCAATATACACACACACATGTGCAAGGTTGGCCATAAACATTAAACAGTCTGTTGGTCCAAGACCATGGAATATCTACATGGATTGCCATTAATCATTGAAAAGATGAGAAGGGTCTCTTATTTTCAACATCCAAACAAGAGTTCATTCATTTCATTCAAGGCAGGCATCTATTCAAGGATTTAGATTAGTTGTTTGACCTCAGAAATTACCTTTGTTACATAAACCACACATGACCCTTGAAGATCCGTGTTAGAATTGATCTTGTTGTAAGAGGCGACTAACAGGATTGGGTGGTCATGCTCGCTGACTTGGATGACACATTTCATCGCATCCCAATTGTGTAGATCGATGTTCATGTTGTTGATCACTGCACTGTCTGGTCCAGACTCGATTATTTACAGACCACTGTCATATAGCTGGAATACTGCTGAGTGCGGTATAAAACTAAATTCACTCATTCACTAAACCACACGTGAAGTTAGTCGTTGACTAGTCATGCATGACAATGATGTCTCCCCAAATCTGCATACAAGAGGAAGAAACACTATTCGTTGGAACAGCTATATATGGAAACTGTGAGTGAACAAAATACAGACTACTTTCGGAATGACCAAAGAAGATATAACACTGACTTATATGCAAATTAATAATGTTATACATTCAATATGAAAATCAGATTGCCCCAATAACAAAACTTTATTTTCACAACATACTCAATGGGGTCAAAAATGAAAATGTGGAACAACTAAGTTTGAAACTTGTCCATTATAACTCAGCTTAAGAAATCTACAATATAATGACACATGAATTTTCCTCTAACACAATTCTACTTTATTTTCAGAGAGAGATTACCCTTATCTCATCTCTTACATCTGTTGAAGTCACATCTGTAAATGTAATCTCTCCATGACAATAAAGCTGAAATGGGTAGGAGGGAACTTTGTGTTGAGTCTTTATTCTGTATCTTTACATATGTACAACTGTACACTGCTGAACTTCATCTTAGTCTCTTCATGTTTCTGTGTAAACAATCTGCGTAAAGGTACATGTATTATCACAAATCTAATGAAATGCTGAACTTGTACTTAACAAGGGCTGTGCACTATCGACATGTTTTAGTTGTTTTATTCTACATTCAGCTGACAGTGTAAGTGTGACTACAACAGTGGAGTTACTGTATCATCAACAGATCACTATTGTAACTAAATTACGGGGAAATAGGACACTATGGAACTAATGTCTTCAAAAAAAAGCAACTTTAATCAGTACTGAAAAGGGTAGGAGTTACATCACGTCTTATATTAACATGCATAATATTCTGGACAATTACTTTGTCAACTAACTGAAATACATTGTCAGTTGAACCTTTAAAATGTCTTCTCGTACTTGCTTTGGAATTAATTGTACAGTCCTTTTATGTATGTTTCGAGCAACTTATCAAGAATTTCTGGCATAATATGCTCATTGGTCATGACTGGAGCAGAAATAACCTGTAAGGCCATACTCTTCTATTAGTTGGTTTACGGATCCGCGACGACCATAATTTTTGCTAAAGTGAAAAAAATTAGTAAAATTTCAATTTTCCATTTCTTAAATACCACTGATATATAAAATCCAAATAAATGTTTTTAAAATCTACCTTTTTGAAATCTTCTTTCTGTTACGAATTTAGCATCGTTGCAAAACAAAATTATAAATATTGAAACAAATAAAATCACCGAATTAACATTACTGATTGAAAATGCTAACACAAGACAATAGGTAAAGGGAGGCAACTCTTTCTTCTGACTGACATCTAGCGATAATAATATAACTACAGTAAGTTTAAGTACAAGCCAAGGGGCGTAACTCTAATTCCCGCTCAAATACTTTTTGATCGCCATGTTCTTCCAAGTGGAAGTCGATAGTTTCACGAACAAAATTTCACATTTTAACAGTTAACCAAAGTTAGAGAGGAAATTGGCGAAACTGTTGGGAACTAATATTAGCTATCTGTTGATTTCTAAACAAATCAATGTTATTATTATATAATTAAAGATATTTCCACCGGAGACCGAGGTGAAAGATCAGATACTGCAACTGTCTCATGTGACGGGCCATTATTCACACTGCGTGATTTGGGAAAAAAAGTATATTTACGTGACAAGAGATCTACCTTCTTCTGATGACAGTGGTGAAGAGGGAAAGAAGGGTAATGCAGCACCACCAGCGTTTGAAATGCTCATGAACATGACCAAAGTTTTTGATCAGCTGCCAAATGTACAGTGAGTTGCAGTTTCAATCGTCGGATTGAAACATTTATTTAAAATTTTAATATATAATGTTGTACTAATGAACTATACGACCATTGGTCAGAAATGTGTCAGAAGAATATTGTTTTACTTTAAAAATTTCACAGACTTATTAATAAATATATATTTAATAAACATATAAAATATATCAGAATAATTACGATAATAACAAATTTAAAACAGAGTAGATGAGTTTGTTTTTTTAACCCTATTATAGTAGGAAATGAGAACACCTGAATGGCTGATGGCATATTCTGTTTCTTTTTTAAAACAACCTACTTGTGGTGAAAGCCACTTAGGGAAAAAAATATCTGAAAGAGCATTTTTATGTATATTTTTTACCACCTATCCACAGGAATATTGCTGTAAAAAAACTGTAAACCAAGTACTAACAAGAAGACAAAGTCATCAAAATCCCCCTCAATGGCAAAATACTCTTCATGATTATGTCTACGAGTTATGATTATGTCAAATATTTAGGTGTGTATATAGAAAAGTGGAAGGAGAGTATTGAAAGGTTTTTAAAGTTCTGCTCCAGAAAGCAGCACTATCACCAATTTCAGTCAAACTTGTTGCCATGGAAATGCCAAAAATATTTTATTCAGAATTCCCAAACTACCAAAAGGCACCAGTACACCACCAGACCAATCTATGTGCCAAGTTTGGTGAAGAAACATTGAACGGTTTTAGAGTTCTGCTCCGGAAAAGAGCACTACTACAACTTCAGGCTTAGTCAAACTTGTTGCCATGGAAATGCCAAAAATATTTTATTCAGAATTCCCAAACTACCAAAAGGCACCAGTTCACCACCAGATCTATCTATGTGCCAAGTTTGGTGAAGAAATAGTGAACAGTTTTAGAGTTCTGCTCCGGAAAAGAGCACTACTACAATTTCAGGCTAAGTCAAACTTGTTGCCATGGAAACGTCAAAAATATTTTATTCAGAATTCCCAAACTACCAAAAGGCACCAGTACACCACCAGATCTATCTATGTGCCGAGTTTGGTGAAGAAATAGTGAACAGTTTTAGAGTTATGGTCCGGAAAAGAGCACTACCACCAATTTCAGTCAAAGTCGAACTTGTTGCCATGGAAACGCCAAAAATATTTAATTCAGAATTCCAAAACTACCAAAAGGCACCAGTACACCACCAGATCCATGTATGTGCCAAGTTTGGTGAAGAAATATTGAACAGTTTTAGAGTTCTGCTCCGGAAAAGACAAATGTGCACGGACGGACGGACGGACTGACGGACGCAACGGAGTCCATTTTAATACCCCCCGCAAAACGCGTTGCGGGGGATAAAAAAAGTATGGCCTAATGATCTCTTTGGTCTTAGCCAGATCTGTTCAATTACATTAGGATATGGTGGCTTGGCTATCCATAGGCTGCCTGTAATATTGCTCTACTCCTGACAGTTTTCCACTAATTGGGCTGTGTGTACAGGAGCATGGTTATCCAGGAAACATCATTTTCATCTGGGAAACGCTGTTCAATCACAGGCTATGGATTAGTCCTGATGTCAAGAAATTCTGTTTCTATTACTAAGGGTCTCTGTCTTGACACTATCAAATATTTCAAAACAAACAAATTTAATTTTAATAACTGGATAGGCATTTGTTTACTTTCATGAATACATGTATTACATTATTATGTGGTTCTCTTCATCTTTTCTCAAAATAGCCGATTTAAGATGACAAAAATTTACTCTTCTTTAATAGGAATTATCAAGATAACCATTTAACGTTGTATCAACAGGGTCCATGGCCAGTTTTCATGTATTTTTCTACAACTCTTAAACAAATAAAGTAAGCTGGTTAATATATTGTAATCACATTATCATATGACCATGATGACTAATCGTGGAGCTACTGTGTATTGTGTTCAGGTCACAGATCAGACATCATCGGTCATGGACATAACTGGAACTGGTCACCATGTTCAGCAGCTTGGCTCCTGACACCATCTTGGGTTTGAGTCCGGCCACACATTAAAGCACATGTGATGTCAGAGCTCCAGATAAGCTTTTGTAGCACTCTGTATAAGTTCCTTTAATATTTGACTTGTACAGTGACCAAATTGAAATACAAACATGTCG